TCCAAGTACCGAATCAACCCTTAAGAGAATTATTTATCTACTTCTTTCTTAAGAAGGAATGGATTCCATCTCGTGTAATAACATTCCCGGCTACCTACTTCATTATGTCTCTAAAATACAAGGAATAGGATTCAGGATCTCAGAATCCGTACTGAGTAAATCAAAAGACACAAATCCATAAATAGGAGTCTGTTAAGAACTCAGGATTAAGATCATCCTATATATGACCATCCGTAGACTCAATTAGAATTTATATACTTAACGAAATTATTAGAAATTCATATTGTGTCTGTGTCCTTGTTCCACATAATCTCATTATGCGAAAAACACTCATTCAATATCTCACCATATTAACAGTGCGGATAACACCGTTCCATTCTTAATGGGAATGACATGTATTAATAATGTTTTTATTAAAGATTCTGAACTTTAATTAAATTCATTATGAACATTGCTTTTTGATTATTATCCTTAAACATTATCCTCTCGTATATAACACTTATATACAATGTTTAAGGTTACATAAATAACCATGGAATTTTCATTGATATTCATAAAATATTCATAAATATATGCACATAAAATAATGAATAAACTCTTTTATTAAATAAATAATAAATATCCTATTACATCTCATGCTTCTAGGACACTATTCCCAACATTGACATGGAAAACATTGGTTTTCTAAACACAAAGCTTTGGAGCAAGGATTGTTCGAGGTCAAAGAACTTAAGTTATCGTCCGATGTATAATTCCTAATTGAGTTCTTAATAAATAAATTAATGTGATTAATTTATTCGTGTATAAATTAATATAATCTATAGAGTATCTCAAAGGTTTTATGAAAATTTTTATTATACTTAATCCGCTATCCTCACGCTTCCACATTCGAATTCGATTCGGAAACCAAGATTATGAATTACTCAATTCTTAAAAATTTCAACGAAAATTATGAAAAATATCATTTAAAAGTAAATATAGATATAGAGATTTTCCCCAATTTTCGCTTATTGCCTTTGAGACGAATGATGAAGCACCCTTGTAGAGGGTGAAATCTAAAATTAAATTTGTTAGGAGACCAATGATTGAATTCGGAGGTTGATGTCAGTATCGCGTAAGCAATGAAATAAATCAGAGTAAAAATAAAATAAATAGGGACATAGATTTTATAGTGGCTCTCCTGATAATTCAGGGTACGTCCACTTTAGGGTCTTTGGTAGTTTCACTATGATTGAAGAAGTTGAGTATAATGATGTTGTCCGCAAATACAAGGAGAAACAGTGTGAGAAAAAATACTGAAAAGTATGTAAAAAGAGGTAAGATATGCTTTTAGGGGTGAAAGCGTGTGTAAGAATGCATGAACCCCTGTCTTGGATGTTTATGGTATGCTTTTATTGGCTTTGGGTGGCTGAAAATAAGCCTTTGGGTAGTTTCCCATTTGACTTTTGATTGATGATCCTCTAGGAGATCTTTCCTTATAGGGATAATGCTTAGGGAGCAAGCATGTGGGATGATTAACTTCCCTCTTTGCTTTTCTGAATGTGATCCCTTGGTTCAATGCCAAATATTCTTGCTGGAGATGAGATCTTCGTACTTAATTCTCGAATGCTGAGCTGGCATGTTCGTTTGACTGCTCGTCTGGTGAGTTGCTGGATTGGTTGTTAGGCAACGTTGGGACTCCGCGAGTTGCCGACCGCTCGAAGCTTGTTTTAACTGGTGATTTCATAATTTGATCCCATTCTCCGAGACGTATGATGACACATGTATAGTGAGAAATGAGGAATGAAATTTGACATTAACAACCCTTATCTGAGACCATGCGTGATAATCTTATTGTTTAAACTATTGTAGAGAACACCATATCCATATCATCACACTACATTTGGTATTCTAAATATACTCTTAGGATATCAATCGGTATCCGACCACAATACCAGTATCCAACCGAGATATCCGACAACAAAAGTAGTATCCAATTGAGATACCTGACGGTATCCAGCAAACAACTGTAAGTATTGGCAGCAGCAGCTGCTGAAATAGCTAAAAAAATACAACAACAAAAAACTACTATCAAGGTTCTACCAACAAAATCTTCAGTTCACAAGGAGAAGGCAAGATCCGTAGATCTCACCATGGATTCTCCATTCACGTGGAGGAGCAGATCTCAGACGATGACGAGTAGCGGCTAGGTGTTTTCGGCTATACGTGACTGCTGCATATCTCTAACGACAGCGAGCAATGGTTGGGTGTTTTCAGTGGCACGCGACTGGTGCAGATCATTGTTGACGCGCGAGCAACGACTGGGTGTTTTCTTTGGCATGAGCAACGGCTGAGAGGAGGAAGAGAGAGAGAGAGAAAGAGAGATGGTTTGGGAGGGTGAGGAGTGGCGGCTGGGAAGGGTCATAGGAAAAAAAACAACGTAGGGTTAGTTCATGGGTATTTCGGTCAACACATAAAATTTAAGTAATTTCATTGTGGTATATTTTATAATACTTTTAGTACCCTAAATGGAAGTTAATCCACCTGTAAAACCTATGGTGGGTTCCCTAAATACCTCTTTAGCAAGGGCATATGTCTTTTCACTTGAAGGCCCCTACTTGGGTAAGTTTTATAGGCCCATGTTGAAGATAAGGGTGTTTGCATATGGAATGTCTTCACCCTTTACATTTTGGTGCTTTGTGTTCCAATTGTTGGTAATTAATTGGTTGTCTTGCTCTGCATTATAATTTCAAACCAGAGAGCATAGTCGTTAAGTTCCTTTTAAATTACTACCATTTTATTGTTCTGATGCATGGAATCTATCGATAAATTACAGTTACCCACTATTTTTTTTTTTTTTTTTGGGTGAATATAAAGTGCATGGAGAAACGACTATTGTTTTTTTTTTTTTTTTAATAAAAAGTGCAGGGAGAAATGACTAACTGTAGCTACCCACTAAGGTAGGATCATAAGAAACATTACACATTAAAATATCCAGATTGAGCTATAGATATTTATATCAGGAAACATAACGTGTCATCGTAACCCATTAGGACAGATGATATTGAACCAGTATCCTATATGAGTACTGATGTTTGGTTTGACTAATTGGTCACGAATTAGCATTATTGTCCGTCATTTGGTTTAGAGAAATTACAAAAAATAATAATAAAATAATAATAATCACCCGACCCGACCGTATGCATTGATCTGTATCCAATGGACGTACTGAGTAAAAATAATTAGATTAAGAAAATCTCAAATTCCCATTTAATTTAACCTAATTAAAGAAATGAGCGACCATACTTTTCGTGTGTGTAGGCGTATGTTTTGTGTAGAGGCAAAAGTTATTGACTTTTCGTTTTCCAATTCTAAATTATCACTTTCTTCTTTGACGTAATTGGTAATTGGCTTTCGTTTCTTATTTGCCAACCTTTCTAAATATTTATAATGTGATGAACTGCCAACTACTTTACTTTTTGATTCGAGGTCCGCAAAGACAAAGTATACAATTCGCTTGGAAAATTTTTTTATGTTGAGTATTAAATACCTTGTTAGTAGCATCACACATCTTGTCAAATTTTTTTTTTTTTTTAAAAAAGAGATGAAAAATTAACAAAATTTGATGAAGATGTTACGGTCTAATTGTGCATTTATAGCTATGTGGTTTGTAAGGACATATCATGATCAGCCAAAAAAATTCAAATGCATTATGTTTCCATAATTAATTTTGCATGAATTATTTATTTATTAAGACAAGTAGTACATTAGGATCAGCGGCCAGGACAAATTAACAAGTAGAAATTAAGAAAAATAAAAATAAAAATAAAAATAGAAAGGCCTTGAAGACGTTGGACTTAATTAAGCAAGCAATATGATTATAATTATTATATAATCAGATGATGATGTGGTTGTGGTTGTGGTTGTGGGGAAAAAGGCGGACGGGAAGGCCTTTAGCGGGCATGGGCATTGGGTCGACAATAATGTTCTCTTCAGGAAGTATCTTCTCCCACTTGTATCTCTTCACCAGGTTGTGCATGAACACCAATATCTCCAGCCTCGCGTACTCCTTCCCTGGGCACATCCTTGGCCCTCCTCCGAACGGCACGAACGTGTAAGGAGCCGGCCCCTTCCCCTCGAACCGACTCGGGTCGAACTTCTCCGGCTCCGGGAAGTATGACGGGTTCTTGTGTGTGGAATTGGCACTCCAGTACAACTTCCACCCTTTTGGAATGGAGAAGCCATTGAACACGAAATCCGTCATCGCCTCCCGGAACGCCCCCTGCAGCGGCGGCGCCAGCCTCAACACCTCCTGCGCCACGTTCCACGAATACTTCATTTTCTGTACATCATCCCAGTTTAGCAACTCTCCCTCCGCCTTTGACTTTGCTATCTCCATTTGCTCTGAATTCAACGTTGCTTATGTTATTTATAATTACATATTTCTTGAAAATTTATATATATAATTAGTCAATTTCTTGAAAATTTATGCAAACCGACAATTTCTTGAAAATATATACAAACCGACAATTTCTTGAAAATATATACAAACCGACAGCAACATATATATATATATATAATAGTGTGAATTGATGTTAGCTAATTACTTCATGTTTGAATTTTGTATACAAACTTTCGTGATGCAAGTATAAAAACTATGTCGTCTATGTACATATATATAATAGTGTGAATTGATGTTAGATAATTACTTCATGTTTGAACTTTGTATACAAACTTTCGTGATGCATGTATAAAAACTATGTCGTCTATGTACATATATATAATAGTGTGAATTGATGCCACCTAACACCTTTTTTTGTCTCTTTTTAAAATAAAAATAAAAATCATCTCAAGTATTATACTAATTAATTATACTATAATTATAAGCAGGAAGAGAGACGTGCTTTACAACATGATACATATTAGCCTCTGTCTGTAAGCTAGTGATAGCCGGCCATGCCCTTGAATATTAATACTCATTTGCTAAATTCCGTTCTATTATAATATTAATCATATTTTATATTGTAATACCATACCCTGGTAAACGGCGTCGTATATGTGAGGAAGCTCGGCGAGGTATTTGACGATGAAGGTGCAGGCAGCACTGGCAGTGTCGTGGCCGCCGACGAGGAGTCCGAGGATCTTATCGGCGATGTCAAGCTCGTTCATGTACTGGCCGTCGTCGGTGCACGTGAGGAGCATGTGGGATAGGATGTCTTGTGTAGGGCTGGCCTTCCCTTCCGCCAAGTCAATCTTCCTCTGCTTGATGATCTTCAGCAGCTCCTTCCTTATGAAGTTGGACGCCTTTATGGCGCGGTGGAACGGCGTCCCGGGGAAGTCGATGGGCATCGAGATGATCCCGGAGGCCAGAAGCTGGAACGGTTCCTCGAACTTCCTGATTTCCTTGGGGTCGTCCAGGCTCACAAACAGTTTGGCAGCCAGCCAGAAGGTGTACCTGTGCGCGCAATGATTGAAAAAAATACAATTAAGCAAGCATGTATGTATGTGTATGTATATGCAGTAGCAGAATTATTATTAGATATATATATATATATACCTCTTGGCAAGAGGGAAGGTGAGGATGTGGTTGTGGTTGTCCCAATCGGCGGCAAAGTGGCGCTGGGCGATGGTGTCCATGACGCCGATGTAGCGCTGGAGAGCCTCGGGCTTCATGAAGCCGGGGAGGAGCTTCCGCATCTTCTTGGCCTCATCCTGAGACGACGTCTGCATGGAGGAAGGGAAGACCTTGTTGACGGAGCTGGGCCACCAGGCAGTGACAAGCTTGTTCTCGTTTGAGAAAAGGAACTTGTTACACGCCGCGCCGCAGAACACTGCTGCTGGCTCACCCACCAGAGACGTCTTGAACACCTCCGTCGAGAATTTTGTCATCCGGTCGAATATGAACTTCTCCGGATGACCTCTCCATCCCGTCGACAGGAACTCCATCGTCTCCCCGATCACCGGGTATCCGATCTTCCCTGGCGGAAGGTTGGCACCGCTGTAGTGGGACCTGTGCTTGTAGAACACCACAAAGAGGGAGATGCTCACCAACGACACAAATAAAAGCAGCAACGACACCAGGAACAACATGTACTGCTCCATCTTAATGATAATAATTATATATTATTTTGTAATGATTATTATTATATGTGCTTCTACTTCTGTGGTGTAGTATTAATTGTTTCTAGAGCAGTTTGAACTCTTCAGGGGAATTGTGGAAGTGAATTAAATGGGCGAGCTTTATATAGGCAGAGGGACGTATTAAGGAATAAATTAAAGGTTGTTTGGTGATTTGTGGAAGGATCAATGCGTGAGTCAAAGTCAACATAAGGCAAGGAAATTGATCGCCCAATAAAAATTTATGTTCTTGAACTGTAGTTTGTTAATTTCCAAACCTTTATATATATATATATATATATATATTGATGCTGTAACTTGTCACGAACTAGTCCAATATGCCTTTTCTTTTCTTTTCTTTTCTTTGTTGTTTTCCGGGCAGTTTACACTGCTTTCTGGAGCTGTTTTGACGTGGCCAACAAGTCGGCCCATAAGTTTAATTTCTTGTAACATAATCGAAAGATTGATTATAATAAGTCAACGTGTCAGTGCATGTTTAATTTTGTTACGCGAAAATTAAACTTAAGTTGCTGAAAGTAGTAATATATTTGTTAAAATATGTTACTATTTAATAATTAAGATCTAAAAGAAGGGATTAAATTGTATTACACGCTCTTCATGATATTTGGTCATGCACTTTTATATAACTAACAGTTAAGTTTAATACGCATCTAATTATTTGTTTTTTGTTTTGTTTTAGTTTTTATTTTTTGGTGGAAGGTTTCTGTATAAATGTGTTACACGTACTAACGAGTAAGGACCGGCCTTACTTTTTGTTTTTTAAGTCAATTAAGATGGGCTCCAATATCAGTTAAAGAAAATACACAATTTACACACACAAAAAAGGATAAATTTTATTTTTATCCCCTAAACTATAGTCACTTATTCACTTTAATCCCTAAATTTTAAAAAATAACCTATTCATCCCTTAAACTTTAAAACGTTAGTGAGAATGCCCCTTCTATCATATTCCGTTTATTTTAAGCTGATGTGGCACCAAATTAAAGAATAATAATTTAATTAAAGTCTAAAACCTCAACTATTAAAGAAGTTAATAATAAATCCCAAATTTTCTCCAATATTAAAACAAAACAACAAAAGTTTTGATCGAAGCAATGAGAGAGAAATAAAAAATGCCCAACAACACTTGAAGAGTATCTTGAAGAGTAACTGGAGATGGCCGAGCCGATGTCGCCGCCTCCATCCTCCGCCTACAAGGGAACCTACCCAGCCTAAGGGTGTCGCTGAACCGGAGCCAAATCCCCAAAAACAACGACATCTGAGCACTCACGAGGCCCAAACTTGCGAGCAAGGACACGACAGCTCCACCCCCACCTCTGCCGTCTCTGACCATCCAACCGACCACCAGCCCCCTGAACGGAATCACCAAGATAAAGGGCCCCAACCCTAAAGGGTTGGGTTTGCCGGTGCAAAGGAGCGCAGAGATCCGTCTTCCGAAAGGGTGCCAAAAAAACATCCCTTGCCGCTTATTCTTCCCTCCCGCGGCAAACCCATCGACGTCTTTCAGTGGAGATCCATGCTGCAACACTTGAGAACCCTCCCCTGGGGCCGGGAATCCAAAGCACCAACCATGGGCAGTGCGAACTCCGGCCCCTTGGAACTCACAGTAGAGGCGGCGCAGGAGAGAAAAGAAAGAGAAAACCCTAGCAGAACAAAACACGTTTTTGAATTTTTGATTCCTTTTCTTTTGTGTAATATTAGTGAAAATTTAAGGCTTGTTTTTTTTGCATAACTGAGTTATGATTTGAGTTGTGTATGTGAGATAAAAATATTATAATAAAAAAATTAAATTTAAAGTTTTATGAGAGAAAATATTGTAATAATATAACTTGAGTCGTGAAATTAACATATTCTTAATTTTTATTATTCATTTATCAAATAACTAAGGTTTTAGTTTAAATTAAGTTGTTTAGTTTTTAATTTTGTGCCACATCAACTTAAAATAAACGGAGTATGACATAAAGGGCATTCTTGCCAACGTTTTAAAATTTAAAGAGTGAACATGTCACTTTTTAAAGTTCATAGGCAAAGTGAATAAGTGACTATAGTTTAGGGGGTAAAAATAAAATTTATTAAAAAAAAAGAGCATTCAAAATTGAAAAGTAGTGGTACTCGTTTCTTTGCTCGTCAAAAGAAAAGAAAGAACTGAAAAGAAAGGAGAAGGGAAAAAGGAAAAGGAAGAGGAAATTAGTGGGAAGAAGAAAAGGCCAATGGAAGGAATATTGGAGGCAAAGTGTAAAATGAATTAATTAAGCAGATTCTCGCGTACCGCGTGTCGCAGCTACTCAACCAAATTTATTATTTATTATTTATTATTTATTATTTATATTTGTATTATTATAAAAGCAGCTAATAAGCATTATATATTCATACTTAACTACTTTCTCTCTTTTAATTTCTTCTCCATCTTTTCCATCGCTGTTTCTAGGCATCATCTCTCTCTCTCTCTCTCTCTCTCTCTCTCTCTCTCTCTCTCTCCCGTTTACTTAATTTGTCTGTTTCATTTAACAAAATGCACTTGATTTCTATACGATCCAGATGACAAATTAAGTAACTAGTTTCATCACCACCCTAGCTCTCTAGTACTATATCTTGCTTTGATACACACATATAAATATAATACCATCTCGATCTCTTTTTTTTTTTTCCTTTTGTAATCTTTTTTTTTTGTTTTTTGGGTGTGTAATTGATCATATATCTCAGTAGTCAGGAAGAGGATCAGTGCAAATGGGAATTAAGCAAAGATTTCATCTCGATCATCCCCCGTAGTGACTTGGTATGTGCAGCAAGTCACATCTAGTAAATTGGATATGAAACATTTATATACTGTTTAGTACCTTTAATGAGAGGACACTTTGCACTTTGGCAATGGCAATGGGGCGGAGTGGGGGTGGGTCTGTTTTCTCCACTCTTATACCCTATTATTGTTTTGTCTCCCACAAAGGCCTCTTTCTATACCCGTTTAATTTAAGGTGGGATTAGGATTGGGGAATCCCCACTGGAAGAGCTAACCCAATACACTCTATTTACCCATTAAGAGTTTAAAAATGCTTGCAACATTATTAAATCTCAAAGAAAATTCTATTAAATTAATTAATAATTAAACAATATAGTTATTAATATGTCATAAAAATAAATTAAATTCATTGCAACATAAAGCTCTAATAATAACAACAAATCAAAATGAAAAAATAAAATCAAAACTCAGAACATACAAAAGTGCATATGTAATCGGTAAGGTAGTGGGGACGGGAGAGTTTCCCCTACCCCCACCCACCATCAAATTGGGATTGGGAGTTAATTATTATCCCCATACTTGTCCCGCCCCCTGATTAGTGCATGAAAATGCACCATAAATACTGCTTTTAATTTATATAATATTAAAATATTTAAGCTTTAATTGAACAATTCCATCATTTTTATTCATAATATTTTTAATTGAAATTTATCTAGTTTTTACTTAATTATTTACAGATAAAAAGCAGTGTAAAAAGCTACACAAAAATAAGCCATGAAAGCCATGTTTTCAAGTTT